TTAAGCAATAGTTTTTGAGATATAAAGAGTTTAAATATAACCAATTACAGATTACTTTAGCATTCAAGATTATACATTTCATAGGGAGCGGTTAGAGTTCTAAAAAATAGTGAGAAAAGTTTATTTTTGAAAAAATGAGAAAACAGTGAATCGTTTAAAAAAAGATGAGTCTTCCTGAGAATAAAAAATGAGTGTTCCTTGAAAATTTGAATACTAAAAATTAATTTGTATTTAAATTATTTTTAAAAATGCAGTTTTTAAAGACGAATTTTTACTTAATTTTTCAAAAACTTTTTTGCTTTGGTATTTTGATTCATAAATTTCGAGACATCATATATATTTTTGTATACTTCATGATTAGGTTGAAGAAACTGTTATGCCATATGTTGAAATTCTGGTGAATTTCCGAGAAAAAGTCCGAAATTGTGCGAAAACTTTGAAAGCGAAAGATATTTTACACGAGTGCGATCAATTGCGCGATGATATTTTACCTAACGTTGGTGTGCGGTTGGAAGATAGTAATGAAGGAGAGTGTAAAGTAAAATTAGTCAACAGGGAAGAGTTGTTGAAGGAGAAAGAAATTAAGAAGAAAGTAGAACTTGAGAAAACCCTAGAGAAGGAAAAAATAAAAGCAGAGGCTGTTGCTGTAGCAGCAGCAAAAGAAGCGCAGAAAAGAATATCGCCAAGTGATATGTTCAGATTGGAAAAAAATAAATATTCTCAATTTGACGATAAGGTAACATTTTGCTCATCTTGCATATAACATTCATTATATCATAAATTTATATTATATTGAGTTTATATTCTCACATTTTATGTACTTTTTTAAATATTTATATGCAGGGATTGCCAACACATGATGCCGAAGGTAAAGAAATTAGCAAAGGTTTATTCAAGAAGTTGCAAAAGTTACAGCAAGCACAGGAAAAAAAATATAATGAATATTTGGCTTCCATGCAAAATGGTTGCTTGTAAGGTCCTTCCACATAAGAAATAATCTCGACTTATTTATGAAGTTATAACTTAGTATAGCAATTTCATACTTCGACAACTGTATTTTTTGTGTTACTTTATCACATTACAAGAATAATAATTCATTTTCTAAAGTATTGAGAAATATCTAAATTACGACTGTCTATATGACATATCAATATAATTTCAAATATATTTGAATATATATATATATAATTCCTATCAGTATCTTTTTCATTTATGATTAAGTTTCAACCATCAAACTTTTTGAAATCATTTTGTTGTCTATCTATTTTATTGTATTAGCTTGAATTAATATAGGAGAGAGAGATTCCCAGTATTGTAATTTATCATTATTAAGGGGATCTCAAAGATGATTAGTCGTATTGTAAGTAGAATCTACACACAGATGATTTATATGTCATTTACATGTCATATGACTGGTACTTACTACTACATCAATATTACGCACATACACATAAATTCTTGTATAACAACGTTTTAAAATTAACAAATAAATAATATAAGGCTCAAATGATTTAAATTCAATACAATAAGAATAATGTTTTAACTAGACGTCTAGTTCAATTTTAAGAACTCTACGTATTTCTTTGTGTAAATTACTAGTCCGTGGGCTATTATTTCGAACAGATTATATAGCTTTTATATGAATGAAATATGGCGCTCTAGAGCTGTCACGACATGACAGATTTAGAGCGTCATATTGGACTAAGAAATGGTAAAAGATCTCAATTTTGAAATTTGTTGTTCTCAACATAAACTCCATCTGACAGACATGTATTAATACATATACTTTAATCCTGGAAAAAGATTTTTGAATCTATAAAAGAAGAAAAAAGTAATTGTTATACAAAAATTATATGATTTAGTCAATAAGACAGCTTTAGGATCCCCTTAAAATAAACTAATTTTATAAAGCTTTATGTGTTGTAATGCATATTGCAATAAATGTATTGTTTTATCTATTAAATTTCAATAAATACCTGTGTATGGCTTTATACATTAAAATCATGAGATCACTAAATATAATGTATAATATATAATGTATGAAAAGAATGCTTCAATATCGCGAAACTACCAACAGCATATTCATACTTGATGTACATACGCGTATACATACATCGGCATATCGTATGGTCGATGCGATTCAAAACTGGTCGAACAAAATAAATGTTACGCGTTTTCACTCGACCGGATGAATTTGACACGCGATGCTGTCCATTATTAAAACATAATACCCCTTTCACACATAACGAGTGGGCCGACAGTGACAGCTTTGTAAATGCGAAGGCGATATAATGCTCGATTCGCGAAGCGAGCCAATATTCATCCTATATTCAAAAGCAGTGAAAACCCGAGGTAGACGAACAGGTCGACCCGTCAGTCGCTTTTCCAACTTCCTGTAAAATACGCATCATATCCGATGTCCAGCCCGAAAACTCGGAATAATCGAGGAAAATGGTCGACCTGCTCACTCTCGATTACAATTTCCGGATTGGAATGAAGCTGGTATTTAAACTCCTCGCAGCAACGTTTTCGTTCTTAATCGAGAAAGTTTAATGAGATACATCTCATGTCAGAGGGACTACGTTTACACGACTCGATTTACGACGAAGTTATAATATCGCGCGATGTTATGAAACTGGCCAATCATAGTCATTCCATTCTTCAGAGGAATAGCTGTGATTGGCCAGCTTCATAACATCGATGTTGTAACTTGTGTAAACGTGGTCTTCACTTTACACGTATGTGTCATTAACTACGTTTACACGACACTCTTAATCGAGTTTAATAACATCCGTAGTTAGAAACTGCGTTTTTTTAATTAGAGTCCGACCGAAATTTTTACCGAAATTGAAAACGAACACTGATCATTACGTGTCAGTTTCGACTGAAACCATATAACTTTTTTTCATAAATGTTAATTTTAATATTTGTAATTATTGTTTCAATAATTAAATTATGATGTTTATGAAGAAAAAGTACTTATATTCTTTGGCCAAAATAACACACAACTGAAATTTCGGTTTTCGATTTCGGCCGAAATTTAATTATTGTTTCGATAAATTATGATATTTATGAAGAAAAAGTATATGATATATAGGCATGTCTATACATATACGGCCTTCATAGGATTCTTAGTTTTTAATTTTGGTTTCGATTTCGGTTGAAATTGTATGTAGCCGAGTGTTTCGGTTCAGTTTCGGTAAAAGTTTCGATCGGACTCTAGTTATAATATCGCACGATGTTATGAAAAATTGGCCAATCACAATCATTCCATTCTTCAGAGGAATAGATTATTGGCCATCAGTTTCATGATTACGGATGTTATTAAACTCGATTAGGATGTCCGTGTAAACGCAATCATCGGCAAGGCCGTGTTAAGAAAATTTGCGCCCAGGAGTGTGTGATCTTCGAGTCTCTTTTTTCGCCCTAATAACGGCAGCATTTCTAATGACCTTTTTTTTCTAATAGTAGTTTCATTATTCGTACTCACGTTACTCTATTTTCGTTACCAGCTTTGCATATTTTATGTTTAATACAAAAGTATTATACTCAGAGAAAAATATAGTTTTGACAACTACTAAATTAACAACTCTAATAATTTAAGTACTTGCAACTAGTTTTACAAAGTAATAAGAACTAGTACTAAAGTAATACTGAATATACTATATTTTTATAATACTATACTATATTTTTATAGTATTCGGTATGACTTTAGTTCTTATTACTTTTTAAAACTAGTTGCAAGTATTTAAATTTTAGAGTTGTATTTTATAGTTGCCACAACTTTTTTTTTCTCTTAGTGTACATAAATTCAATATGAGAAGTGCCGCTTACTTCAAAGTTAGATTTTGGAATAATGCATATGTATTTTATTTATCTCAAAGTAACACTTTGTATACGTTTCTTTTCAAGAATAGGGACCCAGTCTAGTGCAGGAATGAAAATCAGATCTATAATTAGTTATCATGTATACTGTATGCCATCCAACTTTATTTCTTGCGTTCTACATGTCTCCATGAGACAAATGGAAATTAAATTTCGCGTAACAGAAAACGCGTAGAAGAGGCGTAATAATTCGAAAAACGCGTAATATCGAGGACCTGATTATATAATTATGCGATACGTGTTATGCGAAAAATCTGTATCATATATGGGATGGCATCTTAAGTTTGTAATATTCAAATTTCATGTGCGTAACAAGCTAATACAATACAGTCCAGTATAAACAATTTTAGGCTATTTTAACGCTACACTGGTGACACAGGTGTAGCCAGTATAGCGTGGTGCAGTACAAAAGGCGTCAAAACTTGAGCTCAAGTTCTAAAAGCTCGCGGTAGCACAGTATTTAGACATTCTGTGATACGACCAATGTCATTTTTTTAACAATAGGCATAAGGCTGATATTTTGTTTGTCGTACGACAAGGCTTTTGGAAACACTGCATAACACCGACGACCTCACTGATTTTAACTTAATATATGTTGGTTTCAATAATTGCGGGAAAGTCACATTTTTAGTTTACTGTTAATTTGATGTAACTTTTAAACGGCTCAACACTACAAACGATCGAAAAATCACTTCGAATAACTACAAATGACTTATAATGAGAATATGTCATTTGCTTTTCTATTTAAAATTAATTCCTAGCTGTTTTTTTAAAAATCGATTATAAGCTATTTTTTAACTATACAAATAAAAATGTATACTACAAACGATTTCATATATGAATCTGATATCATTTGAGCTGTAGCTAAAAAAAGTTCCTTACCTGTTTTTTTAAAAAATCGATAGCATTTTTATTTTTCAATTGCAAACGAAATAATAAAAATATGACTACTACAGTCATCTACAGGCAAAATTCTCAAGAAACGTCCTTTGAAATCTGAATTGATAAAAGTCGAGTGCCAACTTCACGGAAGTCCTCGTCGTTGCCGGTGCCTGGACGTTGACGGGAGGCACAGGGTCGACGAACCAGCCAATCGTGCGGAGGCCCCCGCATCTGCATTCTAATGAGGCTCACCTGGGTATATATGGACTTAAGCCCGCAACTTCGTTGCTTTTTCCGAGATATCTCTCCGCTATACAGGTGAGTCCTCTTCTTTTTCGCTCTCTCTTTCGCGAGATACCGCATAGTTCTCGATGGAACATTTCTATGAACGAGCGTGTTTTTCGGTAGTATCTTGGAATCGCGTTAATGAGAATATTTGTGAACGGGTGCGAGGGTTTTGTTATCGCGATTTCCAGCGAAACGCTAACGTAAAATTGACGCACCAAGCCGGTAACGTAAGCGATCGTTTTTGAATTAGTCGATGTATCTTACTCACGATGTGTCAGTAATTTCCATTGTTAAACATGATAAGATAATTAACAGAGACGTTGAAAAATCGAAGTCGGATATACAGCTTCGACTCGATTACCGATTTTCTTCTCGATTATCTAAATACCATGTTGTCTACGATTAATTCCTCACAGCTCCGTGACAGCCGATTAGTCCAAGGTTCTAAGATATGTCTTCTTTGAAAGCAAAATAACAGTTTGACTTCGTATGATACATGAGACTGCGTAGATAGAGATTTTCATAAATGAATAACACAAGTTCTAAGGAATGTGATATATGCGCCTGTGTGCATGCATGTGCGTGTATTTCAATGGGAATATAAGAATAAAGTCAATAAAAACCGATGTATTAACAATATGTATTAATTAACAATGGTCTAATCCTTACAGAAACCCAATTTAGGGGTCAATTCTGTAACTGTAACATTACAGTCGTTAAGAGTTACAGAATAAGACGGCTCCTTAGTACTGGCCAATTTAATTTAAAATTGATTTCGAATATTAAAAACATTGAACAAAGTAAGTAAGTAATTAATCATTCCCTGGTGAAAATTTTTCTCAGAATTTTTTATATAATTTTTCAGAATTTCTATATAATTTTATAACTTTCTCAAATTTTTTATACGAATTAGAACACTTCTCAGAAAATCTACATCTTTTTTCAGAATTTTTCATGTACGTTAATTATAAAATATTGTAAGATTTCTAAGATTTTTTGTAAGTATAATAATTTCTGATGAAATGTTATAACATGTAAAAAATTAAAAAATATTTTTTTAAAATTATAGGATGAGAAATTTCAAAATTCACTTGAAACATTCTAAGAGAAGATGTAAACTTTCCGAATATTTCTGAGTATTTCTGAAAAATATTCCAATTCGTATAAAAATTATGAGAAAAATTTTCACCAGGGTCATCTTTCAATATTAAATTTTTGTAAGAAAATGAAAAGTAATTTTATTCTTTTCTTAATTTTAGTTTACATTTTCGTCTAATTTTTACATGTAGAATCACATTCTTTTCTTATTTTTGTGAAAAAAATGCTAATAAGTTCATATTAGTAAAAAAAAAAATCGCGATAGTTCAGAAACATTACAATAAAATAATTATATAATTTTCGTTAAAGTTATTTTTCATTAATCTTAACAATCTTATTTCTATTTATAAATAAAACACATTTTTCAATCGATAATGTAGTGAAAAATAACTTTAACGAAAATTATACAATTATTTTATTGTAATGTTTCTGAATTATCGTGATTTTTTTAATTATTCATGACTATTCATGTATATACTCCTCATATAGTAGAAATATTCTAAATATATTATACGAATCTTCCACAGACTTTGCGATATCTTTTAAACTGCCCCTGTAATATTTATACATAGCTGTGTGAGTCGTATGGCAAAATGATTATTGAACAGTATACTGTCCAATAACAATAATATACTGTCCAATAATAATTTATACAGCTGTGTGAGTTGTATGACAAAATGATTATTGAACAATATACTGTCCACAAATCATTTTGCAATACAACTCACACAACTGTATAAATATCATAGGGACAGATAATTTTTAATCAATACTTATGATTAGTCAAACTTTAAACATTTAAAATTGAATAAAAAATAACGGTTCAAATAATTAAATAAATTAAATAATATAATATATGGGGCTATGAACCATTCAGGGTGTTATGTGAGTAAAACTTTTTTATAAACAATCTAAATTTATGTACAGACGTTTCGATCCCTATCGGGTCATTCTCGATGTTAAATTATAATTTTAAAATTTGTTACCGGTAACAGTGCAAGATGCTCACAAATTAATATATAATAAGCGCATTTAATCCTCGCATATTGGCAAGTGGAATTATGGCAGAAAAAGGCCTCGATACCAAGCAGCATTCACATAGAAACTTGATGTTAGTCGTATACAGAAGTCACATAATAATCGTATATAGTCTAAGGTCTAAGTTCACGGTATGATTAGACTACATGCAATTATTATGTGACTTCTGTATACGACTAACATCGTTTCTATGTGAATGCTGCTTGGTATCGAGGCCTTTTTCTGCCATAATTCCACTTGCCAATATGCGAGGATTAAATGCGCTTATTATATATTAATTTGTGAGCATCTTGTGCCGTTACCGGTAACAATTTTAAAATTACAATTTAACATTAAGAATGACCCTCGACAGGGGTCCAAACGTCTGTACATAAATTTAGATTGTTTATAAAAAAGTTTTATTCACATAACATTCTGAGTGGTTCATAGCCCTATATTACATCATTTAATTTAAACATTTATACTTAAAGATTACTTCATGGAAAAAAATGGCTTACATTTTTATTGGATATCTAATTTTTCATGCTACAACAATTCGAATTTTGGGACACCTTGTACGTAAACATATTAAAAAATGATTTGCTCTCGCATTTATAATTTGCTCTCATCATTAATTTTGCGGATCCCGTTTCTAATAATAACTTCATGAGCGATATCGTAAACACCGTTAACGTCGGACGATGCCTACGCGCGAATCTGATTGAATTCGAGCGTCCACACTCCATTCTCTCGTTTCGTTCCTAATTATTTCTTTTTACTCTTTCTTGCCTTTGTTGAGACCAAAACGAAGGTCAACACCTATGTCACACCTACCTACGTGACGAACGCACGAGTCAGTGACTATCGAAATTTTTGTCTTAAGCTTTCCTTTGTCATTCACATTTTTTTTGTTATCACTTGACGTTCAGACGGATCGACGATCGTTATTTCCCGTAATTTCGTTAAATTATTCTGTTCGCGAATTTACAGAGCGGCAATTTTTGTCACGAAATAAGCACCATTTCGATTTTATTTTTACTTTTATTATTTTCTTTTTACATTAATATTTCTGGAGATTTTTATCGTGGTCTTTCGCAAAGCATGGACAGAAACATCTCTCGCTCGATTCCTTTGCTTCATTTTCGATGACCTAAACGAAGATCGGACCGGAGGTGCCTGTGTATAAAGAGACTTCACGGGCTTATATTACCATATCAAAACGAAAAATCCGAGATTCTCATAAGAGAATCACCGTTACTGATCAGAGCCGTAATCAATGTCGAATAACAAAACATTAATTAATACCGTTCAGCCGGGTCGAACCGTTATTTCGCCATCGGCAAAGTAACCAACGCGATATCGCTAATACGCGAGGATACTCTTAACTATATCTCTATGAGGCTGCTGCGAAGTGTTCGCAGACTCATATCACAAACATGTGATTCCTCGAATACAAATGTCACCCGTGTCTTTGTTCTCCGTTTTATGCACGCATCGCGCCACAGTTCGGCAAAATCAAGGGTGAAGATATTTATTCAATTAAATAATCTTTATATTTTTTTGGCCAACAATGTATATTGATTACAACATATATCAAGTTTGAGATTATTTGAAAGGTTTCCCTCATCTTTTACCATAAATAGTTAAAAAAAAATAGACAGATTTTACACATTTTTCATGCATGCATGCGTGCATGTGTACGCGTACTCACACACATTGAAGTAACATTATATTTTTCTAAGCTGTATAAAAAAAAACCGAAGAAATGAAGGAGAAGATTTAGAAATAATTCAAAAAGATTCAGAAACATATAATTTAAGGTAATCATTGCGAGAAGTCTAATGCATCATAATAAACTATTTGTTTTCTTGAGATTATTTATATTTATATTATTTTACTCTAAATTCTATTTTTTTCTAATTGCAGATTTCAAGATGACGTCCATGATGAAAAAGTTATTGTTTTCCTTATTTTCGTTCCTGGCGCTTCTAACATACGGAGCAGCTAGTGCGTTTTACTTTTGATAATAAGATAATATTAAAACGCATGAAATTCTAATTCACATTATTGTAAAACATCGCATTAAAACTTTAGGCTGTTCACAATCTTACTTTTTGTTCGCATTTTATTTTTCTGTCTTTATTTCTATAATTTCTTTGCATCGTATAATTTTAAGAAAACAAAATTAATAGGGAAAGTATTGACAATAAATTAAAAGTTATTATATTCCGAGTTATCTAATAATAATTGAAAACATTAATTAATGATAAATAATAAATTATAATGAATGATTTTTATAATCTCTATATAATTTATAATAGTAATAATTTAGATACGTGGAGTGTTATAATGATATATGTATATTTCAGAGTCTCCAAGGTTGGTCTGTTACTTTAGCAACTGGGCTATCCATCGTCCGGATATAGGTAGTTATGGCATCGATGATATTCCTACTGATATGTGCACTCATATCATTTACTCCTTCATCGGCGTGAGCAATGTTACCTGGGGAGTTCTCGTTCTCGACGAGGAAATCGACGTTCAAAAAGGCGGCTTCAATAAGTTCGTCGCTCTGAAAGAGAAACAGCCCAGTCTGAAGACCCAGGTCGCTATTGGTGGCTGGGGCGAGGGTGGTAGAAAATATAGCCAAATGGTTAGCGTGAAAGCCAGACGTGACGCACTAATCAGCAGCATCGTTGGTGAGCGTAGTTCCATAGTTCGAGAATGTTTCATACATGGAATTACTAAAAAAATTAATTTTTTCTTTTATCGCAATATTTATAAACTTTGCATAATTTTAAATAGAATAGAAAACATTGATGCGTGAAAATCGTAGAAAAATTTGCCTTTTATATCTAATATATTTGAATATAATATATTTAATTTAAAAGCAAAGTCGAAAAAGACGTAACTCATCTGTCTCGGGAATGTGGATCGCGCGAATTGAATATGAAAGGATTTAATAAAATTGATAATTTCTCTGGTAGATTTCATGCACAAGTATAAGTTTGATGGTTTTGATCTTGATTGGGAATATCCGGCTGCTACCGATAGAGGTGGTAGCTTCAACGACAAGAACAACTTTTTCTACTTCGTTGAGGAACTGAGAACCGCATTCGACAAGGCTGGCAAAGGCTGGGAAATCACGATGGCAGTGCCGATACCCATGTTTCGACTCAACGAGGGGTACCATGTGCCAGAATTATGCAAGTGAGTTCCTCTTTGCTGTATATATTCATACTCTAATAAAATATATACAGGATGTCCGACAAGTTTTTACAAAACGCTTATGAGTAGGTAAAACGGATTAAACTAAGTCGAAAAGTCTGCCATTTTGTTTCAATCCTATATCTTGAACTATTCAGAAATTATTTAGATGGCCCAGAATTTTTGGCGGATACTGTTTTTCAATTATTACTTAATTATTATTATATTATTTGCAGACTTGTCGATGTCATCCACGTTATGACTTATGATCTCCGTGGCAATTGGGGCGGATTCGCTGATGTTCATAGCCCGCTCTACAGAAGGCCTCACGACCAGTACGCCTACGAGAAACTGAACGTGGTATTCTTCCTACAAGTTTTTTCTATTGAAAAGACATATGTACGGAAGACATTTATATGAGAGTATTGCCATTATTTCAGCACGATGGTCTTCAACTCTGGGAGGACAAAGGCTGTCCCGCCAGTAAACTTGTCGTAGGAATTCCGTTGTATGGACGTAGCTTCACCCTCAGCCAAGGCAACAATAACTTCAAACCTGGTACTTACATCAACAAGGAAGCCGGTGGTGGCGAACCCGGCAATTACACTGACGCTCAAGGATTCATATCTTATTACGAGGTAAATGATCGATCCGTAAACAGCTAAAATCAGCGAAAGTCGAGCGATGTCGCATTTGTTACGTCAAAATTCTTCTACAGATCTGTATGGAACTTCAACAACCGAATCAAAACGGGTGGACCAAAGACTACGATGATGTGGGTAAAGTACCTTATATGTATAAAGGTAAGTTTAATTTTTGTAAACATTGGAAGAATAAAAATTTCTTATACGAGATGATTTCGAAATGACGTGTAATTGTTTTTGGAAATCTGACAAACAAAGTGTGGGAAATTGCCAAATTGGTGTATGAATATTACAAGATGAATGCACCAGTGAATGAGATTGCCTAGAAAAATATTGTTCGATAATTCAATTTTATTGAATGGAAATATTATTTTGATCGTATTTTCATTTTTCAAAAGCATTAATTAATTATAGTGTGAATGAGATCAAATAAAATTTAAGTTTTAAATTTGTTTATTTTTTAGTAAATAAATTAAAGCCAAATTATATTTTTTTAAATGGAAACATATTTTCTTTTCCACATTTTTGTAGTATGAAAAAATGAATTTATCGATATTATTATGTGTCATTTGATTATTTAATCTCAAGATAATTCAATTAATATTTACAATCTGATTCATGAATCTGTCGATACCTAAAGCAATGATATCCATGAAAAACATTGCAGTTTAATTGAATGCATAACAATCTGTTGAAATTTTATTTCACTTGCAGAGTTTCTAGAAGACACAGTAATTCTTATTTTTTCATAACATTCAGTCGTTAACGTATGTACTTTAGACAGGGTAAAATACGTCATTAAAGTATTTGAAATGTGCCAGTCCTGCTTATAAATATATCTCGTATAAAACAATTTCAGTTAAAAAAATTCATAAGCTCTTAAATATGAATTATTTTTATAAATCCTCTAAAATGAGCGCCCAATAGGAGTTAAATGGGCAGTTATTGGTGTATCCATTGGGCGCCCTTCAAGCATTCATATTTGAATATATATTTGAGACATATTTGGAGCATGAAATGGATATTCGGAACGCTCAGAATGTTCTTCGGATACCCAATGGTCATCCTGTGTTATGTAGGTTTTTGGCAATCAATCCCGTATGACAACCGACCCCCAGTCTCCCTGCTGATGCACTTATTGTATATTAAAATTTTGTTTCTGCAATTTCTCTTTGCAAAATATATGTTGTTATTATTTGGTTCTCATCAGGTTAATTAATTTTTTCATCTGTACAATTTTTGCAATAGTTTGAATTATTAGAAAGTTTTGATAAGCAGGAGGAAAAAGTCCTCAATGGGTTGGCTACGAGGATGCGGATAGTATTGTCCACAAGGTCAATTTCATCAAGGAGAACAAATATCTTGGTGCCATGGTCTGGGCTTGCGACATGGACGACTTTAAAGGAGTCTGCGGTCCTACGAATCCTCTCATAACCACAATCCACAATGGTTTTAAGGGCTACACAGTAACATCCAAAAGTTACAACACAACTCCTAGGGTAAGGAGTTAGTCAATTAATATTACGAGAAATTGAGGTTAATTCAATCGGCGATTAGTTCAACTTACAGAATTATCCGCAGTGAAAGCTTTATTTTATTGATCTCTAATTTCCCTTTGACTGTCAAAATACAAGTTAGTAATGATATTACTAACGACTATAGATATAATTTGATATTATTAATACGATATTATTATTAATACTATAGATATAATGATATTATTAATACGACTATAGATATTACTTGATAAGATAATTATCAATTATTAGATTAAGTTTGATCGAGAGAGAGAGAGAAGTCATGCTGTATGTTCAAATACTACAAATTCAAATAGTGAAGAACATTTTGTTAGAAGAATGTAAGAATTGAATTTCTTACAAGAATGTAAGAATTGAATATAACACTCGTGATTTTCAGCCCGAGTGGGACAGGCCACCCAGTACCCCATCTTCGACTGGGGAAAAACCGAGACCCATCTCGAATCCCGAACCCATCCCGAATCCCGAACTTACTCCGAATCCCGAACCCACCTCGAATCCCGAACCCACCTCGAATCCCGAATCCACCTCGAATCCCGACGTAACACCTCGTCCTACGCAGTCTACGTCGAAACCAGATAAAAACGAAGTTGTTTGCAACGGCCAGATAATGATTCCTGGCAAAGACTGTTCTGAGGTACGCTCGTAAATACTAAAAAAATATTTCAAAAAAGTGCAATCTTTAAAACAATATATATTTCTAATTTATTCGAGATATAAACATGAGGGCAAAAATGCCTTAATATTCCTTTTTTTCATGCCTTCTCATTCCTTCTTATGCAGGGAAGGAAAACACTGACTATAAACGCGAAAGAAATTATAAAATTTAATTTGTTTGACGTATATAGCAAACAAATGTGTATATTTGACAAATATTTTGCATCTGGTGCAAATTTTTTGTAGCGAAAAGGAATAAATATTTCTTACATCCGTAAATAATTTGCGATCCCTATATTTGCAAATGGAATTTGCCATTATATGGCATAGGATTGATTCATAGCAAATTTTTTTTTTCTTTGAGTATTTTTTCAAAATAGCTTCTTCTAATGCGACATCAAATTGTGATTTTTAGAGTCCGTTTTAATCAAATTTGCACACGGAACTCTTACATAATAACTACATATTCTTTTACAGTATTTTATGTGCGTCCATGGTAAACCGATGAAATCACGCTGTCCGACTGGTTTGATTTTCCATACCACTAATCTCATTTGTGACTGGCCAGAAAATGCTGATCGCAAAGAATGCAAAAAGATTTAATCTGTCGATGCCTTGGTCTACTACTAATGTCAACTACTCAGCGTTTTATCGATCCATTTCTCAAGTCTACGAGGGAATTTATTACGATAATTTCATATGAGAACATTCGTTACGTGTTAATATTTGTTGTTGTGTGCGAGAGTGTGTGCGATGCTAATATCGCTGTAATAAATCATACGCAGTTATTAAAATCTGAGAATTGTACTATGTAATTTTCTATCCTTTATATAATCCTCTTTTTTAAAACTCTTTAACTTATTTAACTATCTTAGTTAAAATTGTAAGTTTAAATTTAGAGAAAGAGAGAAGAAAACTCTTAGACCCTGCGCACAATGGAGGAAATAGTAGGAAAAAATAGGAATAAATATTAAGATTTCAACCTACCCCCCGCGTATTCCGATGTAACTGGTATCTGATAGGTTGAAATCTTAATATTTATTTCTGTTTTTTCCTAATATTCGTTCTATTGTGCGCAGGCCTTTGTACAAAGAGCTTTTACTATTATTTTTTTAAATTAAATTAATTACGGTAAGGAAAAGTTTATTGTACCAACATACACGTACGCGCGCGTACACATACACAAAATCTTTATTTTCTTAAATATGTAAATATATTTGATATATCTTTTTAGAAAGTGTATAAAATAAAGCGTATGAAAATAGTTTTAATAACTTTGGGTTAAATCCTTTTTAAAAAGTAAATAAGTTCACGCAAATAATTTAAAAATATGACGCTGAAAAATCTCTAAAATTTGATGTTTCTGCGCATTAAAGAGCATTTTATAAGTGTATGCATAACTCACATAATGTATATTTGATCATACAAAATGGAATATTCATTATTGTATATATATCAAAAATAGCTTGTAGAATTTAAATGAAAAATAATTTGTCAAGAATTTCTTAACAGTCGTCAGGTTGTGAATGTAATCGCAGATTCGTATGTGTTCTCGTTCGAGATCGCGAAACTTTCCTGTTTCATGATGCATGCTGCAGGCATCGTTTCCTCCTTTCTACCGTTATTGACGGCGCAACAAAAAAAAAAAAAGAAAAAAAAGTGATTTGACGTTAACAATGCGTGACAGTTAGCGCAAAAAATATGCTCTCGAATATGAAGTCAAGAGTGGTGAAAAAGCAAACAGAACTCTCTTTCCGCTCTTCTAATCTACTCTACCAAAACGCTCTCCATTCGCGAGAGCGTTCCTCGCGTGAATGAATATACGTAAATTTTTAGTGGAAAAATCGTATATGTGCTCCGAGTTCAAGACCCCAAAGATCCCGAACCTTGATTGACACCTGAATGTTCTCGTATGCATATAGAGCCACCCTCTGTCGTGCGATCTCTCTCTCCCTCTCTCTCTCTCATTTCTTCTTTTTTCATCCCCATCTCTTGTCCACATTCCCTCCTTCTTCTACATTCTGTTACATCGCTTTTATCCGGAAGCGAAACTTGATGGCTGTTATAATTTAACGAGCACATTTCTTTCTCCAGTTACCGCGGCATTTGCAAGAACGAACACCGGCGAAGCCCACGTTCCTTTCTTTCTCTTCTCTTATGCATAAGGCGGTTTCTTCTCATTTCACGACAATCATCGCGTTTTTTCCTTTTTTTTTTCGATCGAATAATGCTGTGAAAACGAAGACAAAGAAAGAGTGAGAAAGTTGAACGCGCAAACGAAATCGATGACGCGTTTCATATGTCGGAGGGTGAATGGCGCAACGGTTTCCAAAAATTAGAATAGCCTTGTAAAATGTAATTCTAACGATAACGGTTGGTTTTTTTTACGCTTTCCTCGCGACAATTATTTCTAAACGTTTCCCAATTGTTATTCTTCAATTCCGCGCCGTCACATAGAATTTATAATATAAAATATTCATATGGGACACAAGATTAATAATAATTTTATTTAAAAAATGTATGTATGTTATAAAATAAGAAAATATCGAGCGCCAAAAAAAAATGTCGCCGAAAAATTATATTTAAAAATACGCACAGCAGGTATTTGCACATAATTTTTAGAATTTCACATTTGACAATTTTAAACTTTACTTACAGTATAATTTTATCTTAATATGAAATATGTATATTAATTAAATCACTATTCTGAAAGTAAGACGCGAGCGCTATTCTGACGCAGTGCTATTTCAAATGACATAAATAATGTATTGTTGTTCGTGTTTCAGGGCTGGCGACCCCGCGTCTAATTTTTTTTGCGGCCAGGGACAAAGGGGGACATAAGAGAGAGGCGACGAAAGGCCACGGAACCCACTTTTATAACTCCATCGACAATTTTTTGGTTACCCTCTTGATCGTTATTTTGATCAACTTCACACGTACATTCGGCCATATAGGTACGTATTTTCCCGTTTGATTTATCTTCCAACATAATAAAGAGATTCTTGACGTTTTTCCGGTAAATAATTTCAGTCACCACAGCACGTGCATCAACAAGTTTATCGATTTATTGATAAATCGTTTAATAATCGCCTTTGTGTTATATGATAGCATATAATTTTATTTTTATTTAATAAAGTATATATAGATTTAATTAAAAAAGCTATACATATTATTTAAAATAAATAAAATTATGCACTGTTACTTGACATAAAATCGTAAAATAATTATTAAGGAGGGAAACTAGTGTGAACACTAAAAAGAAAAGTAATTTTACGGTATTTTTTTTTGAAGAAACAATGCAACGTATTTTTTATATTTGTTTGAAACAAAGATATACAATATTTTCTTATTTTTTTATGAAAATTACCCATCAACTCTGATGAGATATCAATACTTGTTTATGGGCCCTATAAAATGAATTACTTTTTAACAAAAAATTTTATTCTATTTTTGAAAATGTGTGATAAAGCACACAAAAATCTTTAAAGAAATGAAAAATAGACTCAAAATGTAGGTTTAATGTTACCAAAATCTTATTGATCAATATAACTAATAAATTTATTGTAACACGTACTACATTGTCTAAAATATGTTTGTATAATGCCGCTAATATACACGATGATAGTAAATATTCCAGAACAAATAAATAAAAGTATTGGAAAGAATAAGGGCACTAAGAGTCAGGCGCAGAAGACGTCGCGCAAATAATACACCTATGAAGCGTGAAACTTCTTTATTCACTAAACGCGCTATTAAATAAAAGTATTTAAATAAAAGTATTTAATACATCGACTTTTACGAACAAAAACCTTCTAGACTAATAAATAGACGTAAAAGCGGAAAGGAGTATCAGCTGCATATAGTAATTATTTGGAAGCGTTGTTGTTCTTCATCAAGTAGATATCTCATACACCGGGCAACTGCTTCGCAATAAAAGCAAACGATTATTCGCACAAACAGACATTAGGCTTTCGCTCTGTATGTTTTTACTACAAAACAAATGCCCTCGCTTCTATTCTCCACTAAGAGGGTTCGTCCCATTTTTATTCGCGTGATGCATTGTGCAGGAGCGAGCTACTCATCGCCGCATACACGTAACTTTAACGATCAAAAATGCTTATCGTTTTGCCAGCTAGCCAGCCCAACCCGATGTGATCCGATTCTGCCCCGCGTCCGTGTAATCGTGCCCTTTTATGTTAATTGGCAATCCTTTTGCGTTTAACCAGCTGTGCCGCTGTCATTGTCTCGACTCTCCGTGAAAATTTTTTCTTACCGCTACCACGAGTTTTCGACTATGGCTCACTGTGTGAAAAACACGCGACCGTCCCCCAAATGCCCCATCCGAATCGCTTTTTTCATCGGCATCGAAGAGAAGAAAAAAGGGTTACGCTCGAGGGATGCGCGTGTCGGAAGGTGCCATGTTGCGCGGGGTGAACGAGTTATTGGGACTTGGGATGAGATGAGAGAGAGGCTTAATAAAAAATATGCGGTGCCGACGCGGTTGGAAATCCGCGTAAAACCCAGATCAAACCACGGATTGCCGATTATAGTTTCCGATTACTCGGTTCTATTTTAATAATGATGGACTCGCTGCACACGAGTGATTGATTGAAATAGAATCGAATAATCGGGAAATCTAGCAACCCATAGTCTGATGCAAGTTTGACGTACTTTTCTTAACTGCAGCATTCTTGCCGACACTAGGGAGTTTTTGCAATATCGTTTATTCAGATACGGTGAACGTTAAGATCAGGTTACCTTCTTTTTAATAACTAAGAAAAGGATAACATGACTTTAGCGTTCATCGTATCTGGATAAACAGTATTGCAAAAATTCGCTATACTGTGAATATGCGGGAAACGTATATGGACGTAAGCGCGTCTCTGTATCATGAAGATCTTCCCTCTTCGCGTAGAGGAGGGGAAGCCTTTTAACCCTTTTACTCCCGAGGACATGCGCGTTGTGAGCAAGCGTCGCAATGCAACCTCGGTAATTGCTGCACCCGAGACAAAATGGCAGGTCCGTCGATGGCGATGGCATGTTTTCTTTGCGAAGATATTATTCGCGATTTCTTCTCGAATAGTATCTTTCATATATTAGACGTAAGGTGAGAAATCGACTCGTTCGTAGGAAGGTTACAATGAATATCTCTGTTGCGAAAAAAATGAAAATAGGCTTAAATGGCAAAATTTTAGTAATTGTCTGCACTCACAACTAGTCTAATCAAATCCGGCTTTATAATTTCAACATCGTAGACAATTCGTGGTAGAAAATCTCGAGGAGAAAAATTCATTCGCTAGCTAACCCTGAAACAGTAATGGCATCGCCGACGACCCTTATCGAAGGTGCAAATCTCTGATTAACGATTTACTTGATGACCAGTCATTCCGCCAATAAAACTGCTCCAAGAACGCGCGAGCTTGCGCTCGGGATGCCGAAGAAGAGAAGCAATTATCGTGGAGGAGGATTTAAAGAAAGGAAAGAGAAGTATCGCGCCCGAAGGGCTCCACCGGGGTTTTCCTCGAGGTCGAGTCTCGCTCCACAGTTAGCGGGGCGTGTCTTCGGTTTCGTTGAATTAAACATCGTGCCAGCTTCAATCAGCCCGGTTCTCTTCATCTCCCTCTCCCTTCTTTCCTTCTTTCTACAACCGCCACGATTCTGGAAAAAGCTATGCTTCTTCCTTTCTCGTCTTTCCTTATTCTTCATTCTTAGTTATTTTATTTCTATTTTTTAATTATATTACTTTTTTATTTTTGATTTTTATGACCTTACATGTGACCTTATTATTGCCTA